AGTCAGATGGGCTGTTGTGCACCAAATAACGGAGGAAAGCCTACAGCAAATCAGAGATTATTTGTAGATAACTTATAAAAGATATCTTTGACAGATAAACTGTTGTGAGTTATCATTTTTAATACAGCAGGATGAAATCAGTGGGATATCAGTGATTACAAATTCTACCTTGAAGGCAGAATGGTGACACTAATATCCATCATGCTAGGGTCTCTAAACAGTCTCTAAACATGACATAGCAGTGAGACATTCAGGAGGTACTCATTACAGTTAGTCTGCTTTTAATATAACGAATCTCTTCCCTTGGCTTCCTTTCAACATATTTTTCACATTTTGTGTTTTTATCTGTTTCTCAAAGGAGGCAGCAAATGCTAGTGTTATGCTGGGCAGATAACTGATAACTGTTACATGAGTATCATTAATAAGCATGATATTTGATTTGAGAACTAGAGTAACTACTGGTGTCATCTCTTAATATGACATAGAGACAAATCTTGACAAGGCTGACTCAAGATTTCTAGTATTCACCAGAATAAAAACCAGAAAACATTCTTTTCTCATTATTAGAAGCTTCACATCTTCAATTTGCAAAGAAAACCTAAATTAAAATTAAAAGGAAATATAAAATTTGGCAACTGTTATGAACCACATCATTGTCATGGCTGTAGGTGATCATGTCAAGTTAAAATATATATTAAAATATATGTCTTTGCCAGCAAAGGTTACATATCAGCAATAGTTGTTTGAATGTTTAAGAACTTATTTTATAGAGTTCTAATTTATTTGTCACTATTTATGGTACTTGTTTATCCTTTATACATTGGTAGGTCTAAATATCAAATCTCCAAGATGAGCACCACATACTGGTTCTGAAAAGTATGTATGTGAAAGGCTTCAGTGTATCATATACTTCACTCCTGTGATAAATTTAGGTGACAAGTAGAGATGCTTTGAATCACTTGGGCAGGACACAGAAGTTAATATAGTGTCTTGCATGAACATGGAACAGACATTGAAAAGCTCTTATGTTACTCATTAAAAGGGAAAATTGAAGATATTTTATTTCTTTCTATAATGAAAGAAGGTAGAAAAAAAAGAAAAATCTAATTTTGACCTCACTTATGCTGTAAGTCTATTGATTTCTGTCAAATTAGTCTTGCTTTTCACAACACACATGATCTCTGGTCCAACATTCCTTTCCATACTCTACTAATTGGAAGGTTAAATACTTTTCCATTTCCTTGAAAACTTGCAAGACATTTTCCACTTGATTCTATCTAGTTTTGACTTCAAATGTCCTCCTACTCACTTGTAACAGAGAAAGAGTATCTTATTATCTGTAATGGGAAAGAGGTTTGATGACTAGTAGTGTTCTTTATCTTTGAGCAATAAGCCTCAAACTGGGTTGAAAACACAGTATTTATTCAAAACCTACAAATTTGTGTGCAATGAAACTGAAATGCATTTAATGACAATATTTCAATTTCACTGACTTTCACAGTGTAGATACAGTACAAGTGGGTGTTAGTGCATTTCAAAATTTTAAAATTAATTTACAATAATTAATGATACCATGTAAACCAGGGCAAATGTAGCATGACAGATCTTGTGTGAAGCTGTGTAGAGAACAACTGCATGTTTCTGAGAGCAAAAAAAGGATAATGGCTGAGTGGATCCTCTAAGGCGTGTGTGTGTACACATGTGTAAGAATCACTAGCAGTCCAGCAATAATGATGCTCCCAGAAATCTGTCTCCCCACAAACTAGAGTCCTGAATATAAATGTCCATGTAGGAATGCATCATTAAATCAGTTCTATCTCATTGCAGACCCTACTTCTCTCCCCTCTCTCTTACAGTGCAAAAATCCTTCAGTATCTCTGACCCCTGAACATCCCAGGGTCTTCTTAGCCAAGACATTTTGTACAATTTTTGAGCATGTTCCTACTGTTTCTATGATCCAGTCCTAGTGTTCTCATCTGGCTCACTAGTCATCTGAGCCCAACTCCTCATCAAGCTCTTCTTTGCAGAAAAAAAGCCCATCTGCAATTTTTGATAGTGATTAAAATTGGCACATCGGTTTCATAAGTGTTTCCAAGAAAAGGAGTACAGGTATGAGAGCCAAAACACAAAATTATTGAACAGTTTGTCTTGGAAGGGTAATTAAAAGATAATCTAGTTCCAACCCCCTCCATGGGCAGGGACACCTTCCACCAGACCAGGTTGCTCAGAGCCCCATCCAATCAGGCTTTGAACATTTCCAGGGATAGGACATCCACAGTTTCTCTGGGCAACCTTTTCCAGAGCCTCACCATTCTCATAGTGAAGAATGTCTTCCAAATATGTAATCTGAACATGAAACAGCATATTGGATCATGGCCAGAAGAGACTATACAAGGGAAGAATTTTAGAAATAGGGAAGATTTCTTGGTTGGCATAACAGGATTCTGTCCTTATTCACATTTAAACAAAGATTAATCACAGACATTAGATGTGATTGGAATTAGTAGTTGACAATGGTTATTCCATTTTTGTTATGAAGAGAACTAATAAAAAGTAGAACGGTTCAATTTCCAGGCTTTCTAAAAGCAAGCCTTGAGTTCTGTAGTATGCAGTAGGAAACAATTCCATCAGGCAGGTTACACATCTTTCACACCTCCAAGAAACTAGCATTCCCTTGCTGTATAGCATTGCTCTTTTCTTTTGAAATGAGACTCACACCCACAGCAGTGACACTGCTTAGCCATGACACAATTACACTGACTTGCACCTTTCCTGCTTTATTCAACAGTGGTTTTGACAGTATTCCCAATGCAGAATAGAAAGCCAGGAAACTGTGACTGCGGCATGTGCTGTAGCACCTTTGTTAGCACCGAACATCATTCCATGAATCCTTGAAAGTTTCCCTGAAAGTACAGGTAAATGTTTCCATTTCTTCTTGTTCTTGAACAGGTTTAGATTATTCTTCAAGTGAGCAATACAAATGCACCTATATATATATTGCACAATATAGAGATAACCTTTATGTAAGTTATTCAGTGAGACTGAATCATGTACTGTGCTGTTCTGCATGGCTTCTTTTGCAACTTTCATTGCCATGGTACCCAAGTGACTTCTAGTAGTGCATTAAGCAATGTGCCTGTCAGTCGTCAGGAGAGTTCACTCCATCCCTCATCCTTTCCCTTGTACAGGGAATAGGAGCTTTCAGCTTTTCTTTTTCATCTTTCTGAGTGAAGTATCTCAGTCACTAGACTTGATTGAGTGAATGATAATGGAATAGTTTGTAACTTACTGTCTTTAATAAAACCAATTAAACCAACTCTAAACTACACTTCCATTTCACATTAAATGCATCAGTTCTTCTTATCTGAGAAGAAAGATGTATTTTCAGATTATGTACTAAAAAAGGTTCACATAGGGGAGATAATAAGCAGGTAAAATGTTGCAATTTTTGTATCATCAGTCAGGGTTATATATTTTTTACTTCAAAAGAATGACAGTGTGTACAGGTGTACCTGAACATGTGTATAGGTCAGATAAAATTCAGTGGTGGGTTGACCCTGACTGGATGCCAGGTGCCCAAAGATATTCCACCACTTCCCTCCTCAACTGGAGATGGGATGGGAAATATAAGGAAAGGCTTACATGTCAGGACAAGGACAGGGAGAGATCATTCACCAATAACCATCACAGGCAAAACAGACTCACCTTGGGGAAAATTAATTTAATTTTTTACCAATCAAGTCAAAGTAGGACAATGAGAAATAAAATTAAAATCTTAAAACACTTTCCCTGCAGCGGCACATGGGGACAGGTAATAGGAGTAGCGATCAGTTCATCACATGTTGTGCTACTCCTTCCTCCTCAGGAAGAGGACTCCTCACAGTCTTCCCTTGCTCCCGTGTGGGTCCCTTCCATGAGGTGCAGTGCATCAGGAACAGGCTGATCCAACTTGAGTCCCCTTCATAGCCTCAAGTCCTGCCAGCAAAGATGCTTCAGTGTGGGCTCCTCTTCTCCCGGGGCCACAGGTCCGGCTAGGACCCTGCTCCAGTGTGGGCTTCACAGCCCTCTTTGGGCACCCACCTGCTCTGGCACGTGGTCCTCCAGGGGCTGCAGGTGGATCTCTGGTCCACTGTGTGCCTCCATGGCCTGCAGGGACACAGCTGCCTCACCATGGGCTGCACATTGGCTGCACAGGAATCTCAGCTCCAGTTCCTGAAGCACCTCCTGCCCCTCTTTCTGCAATGACCCAGGTGTCTCCAGGGCTGTTCCTCTTATTCTCACTCCTTTCTCTGGTCGCAGTTCTTAAATGGCTGGCCCCTCTTCTTGAATCTGTTATCCCAGAGGAGCCACCACCATTTTTGATGGGTTCAGCATTGGCCAGTGGTGGGTCTGTCTTGGAGCTGGCCGGCATTGCCTCTATCATAGATGGGGAAGTTTCTGGCAGCTTCTTATAGAAGCCATCCCTGCATCCTCCCCCCTCCCACTACCAAATAACACAAAAACTATGGGAAATATTGCTGTGAAGATCTGATAACTTTTTCCAGAACAGCAATTTCATTGTAATTCAATTTGCAGTTTAAATGTCTAATAAAATACTGCATAAATATCAATAGTGACTAATTAATCAAAATCAGCATATATTCATCTTTGCAACAGAGATACCAAGGCATTAGCAAAGCCAGAGTAATATATAAATTTCATTTTGGTGTTGGAAAGACCTGCAAAAAGGATAATGAATAGTTAAAGTAATACTCTCTGATAAGAATCTCCTTTCTTGTCTCTCACAGAAGGAAAGGACCACTCCTTGCTTCTTCATTCAAGCATCTTGGCATCACAAGTAATTCTCTTTAACCTCACTAGCCTTCAGATAGTTACAGAATGGATCACCACCCCTAGACTATTTCTCAAAAAAGGAAATAGATGCAAGTTCACTCCTCTGGCCTGGAACCATTCCAACACAAATGTATCAAAAGGACTGTAAGTACAATAAGACATACCACCTTTAGCCAGGGTTCCCATCATCTTGTGACTCAGACATCAGAAGACCTGTGCTTATCTGACCTCTAGTAGAAGTATGTCCCACTCTCACAGTGCTGCGTGTTTTTACCCTGTAAACAGAAAATGGAGACTAGACTGTTGCTACAGTATGTTGAAAGAGAACTTTTAAAAATATAAATTGGGTTGAAAAGATTCAGAATTTTAGCTGAGCATCCTTTTCTCTTTCAAGGGTGTTGAACATTTTATGTTCCCATGACTTGATCTGCCCAATGTTTCTGAAAAATCACACAGCTGTGTCATCACTGCAACTTATGAGTGTGGCTTCAGAATTTGTGAAAGGTTTGGGACCTGGGATATAGTAAGAGTACCTTTTGGAATACCAGAACATATGAAGCTGAAATAAGAATGAAGACCAAGGAAGGTTTGGGATCTAGGAAAGGTAGCAACTGAGAAAATGAGAAATGTCACCTGGAAGCTGAGAGAGATGCACAAGTATCATGGGGAAGATGGGAAATAATTCTAGGGGCACTCAAACAGTAAGCACAAGATCGAAGGAAGAAGCAGAATAAAATGGAGAAAGTGGCTATGAAGGCTCTGAAATGAAAGGATCTGATAACCCCTCAGCAAAGTAGGATGGTATTAGCTTTAAGAAAGAAGCAAATATTCCAGAGGGGGAGCAAAAGAATACAAGAAAGGGGGAGAAAAAGGTGGCTGGAAGAAAAGATTTGAAACATTAGTCTAATATCAAATAGACTAGTTGAAATGAAAGGGAGAAATAAAAAAAAAAACAAATGTCAAATATTTTGGGAATATACAAAAAACCATAAAGTGGAGAAGTACTGTATCTTCATAACAGAGTAGAACAAGTGAAATTAAATGGTTATGCACAAGAGCAGTGGAACACATTAAAATTCCTCCCCTCACAAAGTATTCTGTTACTGGCAAACAATTTTCTTACCATAGAAATGTGAGATATTATCAACAACATATTTCTCAAATGCAAAGACTGCACATAACTTTGTAATATCTGTTTTTATAGTAATGTGAAATAAGAATCAGCATGAGAACTATAAAATACACATGGTATCATTGGTACTATACCTCCTATTTAAAACAAAATATTCTTTAACAGAAAAAAATTATTTGCAAAGAAAGGAAGATTTCTAAAACCCATTAGAGAGTAATTTTAAGAGCCATAACTAGGAGGACAAAAGAAATTTCAGAAATTTGACTGCAGGTATTTCTGAACCTCCTCTAAAGACACATAAATGAGCTGTGGATCTCTTTACACACCTCCTCCTCTTGCAGTTCAGTAGGTGAAATGAGTCTCAGTGGCTCAGGCACTTGTTAAAACCATGGTCTGGGAAGGGCTGGTGGAGAGCACAGAAAATGTAAGCCTGCTTTGCAAATGACTGTACTGGGGTTAGTCCAGTTATTTTCTCAACACATCACCAAATCAGGGGAAGGTGTGTATGCCTAAAAAGTACAGGGCTGTGTGCTGTTCCAACACAAACACTGGCAAGAATTTCAATATGTGAACATGACCAGGAATGAGGGAGTGATTTTATTTAGATGCACTAATTTTTTAACTGTATTTACAACATTTAACTCTAAATATTCCCTTATGAAATAGCAAGTATTACGTTTAATGTGAAAGATGCCTATAGGTCATATGTTATCTCTTCAGTGCCTTACATTTCTTCCTAGTAAAGCTGCAGTTATGCTAGTATATTTCAAGTATTACAATGTATCTAAGTATAATATCATCGAACAAAGTGCGCTACTGGTGAAACAGAATTGAGAAATACAAGTGGACTGAGTTTAGCTACAGGTTATTACTGCAAAACTATTGGGTTTGGGGGTTTTGTTTGTTTTGTTTTGTTTTGTTTGTTTGTTTTTTAAACTATGATATGTGATATTTTGCCCCCGCACTTAACTGAAATTATTAGAGGTGATTCAAAACTGGTTCTTCACTGAAACAAGTGAACGGCATTTGTGAAAGGATGTTTCAGAGATGAAAGAAAGAGGCAAAGAGGTTGAAAAGGAAGCGGAATTTGCAGGGAAATTTTTCGGTTTCTCGGGAAGACTTAAAGTTGCAGGTTTTCTGCGTTTGCTAGATTAGCATTAATTTTCACTTACGCTCTTCCTGGACCACTTACACCAGAGCGCCAGCACAGCGCAGGCTGAATTGCCAAGCCACAACAGTTCCTGCTTCCCATCCGCGGGAGCCACTGTCAGTGGCGCGGCCGGTCCTGCCGAATTCCCAAGGGAGGGTGGTTCGGCGGGATTCACTGCAGACCACCGCGGGCCGTGCTGCAGGAGAGCGGCGGGAGGTTCGCGCTGTCCCCGCCGACACTGCCGGTGGGACATGGCCCCTCTCTGGGGCAGCGCTCCGGGGTGCCGCGCCGTGCGGGCGCAGGTGAGGCGGTGTCACGGCCAGCCCCGCCGTGCCGGGGAGCTGCGGGGCCGGCGGCCACCGCCGCGCTGGGCAGGGCCGGCCGGGAGCCGGCGGGGGCGGCGCGGAGGGGGCACCGAGCGCCCCAGGGGAGGCGAGCGGAGCCCGCCGCCCTCCCACCTCCCGCCCCTTCCCGCCGGCCGGGCACAGCCGCGCCAGCTGCCGCGCCACAAACTTTCCTGCTCCCGCTCCGGGCTGCGCCTCGCCTGCGGCGCGGCGGGCGGCACCGGCTGCCAGTGACCCCTCGGTGCCGGGGCGCGCAGGGGAGCGGCCCCGCCGCGCTGCCCGGGGGACGCGGAGCTCCGAGGGGACCCCCGAGCCGCGGTCCCGTGCGGCGGCGGCTGCCCCGGGGGAGCAGCGCCTCGGCCGCGGGACAACATGAGCCAGGCACAGCCCTACGGCCCGCGGAAGAGCAGCTCCCCCGCCCCGGGGACGCGGCGGAACGACAGCCAGGACTACCTGCTGCTGGATGCGGAGCCGTGCGAGGAGAGCGCCCTGCCGCCCTACGCCTTCTACCCCGTGTAAGTCCCGCCGGCCGGAGCTGGGCATCCCTCCCTCTCTCCCTGCGCGGGCGCGGAGCTCTGCGCTGCCTCCCGCGGGAAAGGGGGGAGGCGGCGGCGGGACAGGTGGTGGCCGGCGGGGGGCACGGCGCGGGGCTGGGGCTGGGGCTGAGCCCGCGGCGCTGACCTGTCATCTTCCCTTGCCCTCTCCGGAGGACGAGCGGGGTGTTTGTGTTTGGGAAAGGCGGAGGAGCAGCGTGGGCACCGCCGTGCCCAGCTGGCACCTGTGTCCGTCCTCCTCTGCGCAGCCCGTAGTGCCTGCCCCGCTGTAAGGGATGCGAAGAGTGGCTTGGGTTCAGCTGTGGAGAGTGGGGCCAGAGGCGTCGGTTGTACATAAACCCAGGAGATACCGTCAGTTTTAATATAATTACAGAAATTTTACTTCCTGCAATCGTTTGCTCCCACTGAGAGAGCTCACTTTGCAAGTGTATGCATGAATCCTCCCTCCATTACTACATTTTGTCAGTCATGTCTCACATAATTTGATTATGTTGGTTTTGGCAGGTAGTTATCATTTAAAGCGGAGTATAAGAACATATGCAATAAAAGCTAAGTTACATAAACATAAATTACAAAGGTTCCACGAACCGCAGTTTTTTAACATCCAGGTCACTTGATATTCAGTGTTGACAGTGTCCTTCTGGTTATGTGTGGTCAGCATGACTCCTGTAATTACCACTTGTTAATGCTTCTGAGGAGAAGCTATCCCACAGAGGGGGAAAATGGGTATTAAGCAATGCAAGATGAGTCCTAAAATCTCAGATGATTACCAGAAGATGTGTACTTTCTTTTGTACAAATTTTAATTTGTTACTTAACTGGTAAATTTCTATTATCATTCTCTCTAATACTTGCTGTTTTATCTTGAAGCAACTTATCAGCCACTTGCCAACTACCTGGGTATAGGAAAGGAATAAAAACAATGAAACTGGGAACACTCAAATAATTTGAGAAGTATTTGAACAAGAACAGCTAAGAACAACCAGAGTTTTCAGAATTCACTGCTGTTATTGCTAATCCTAAGTGTCTTTGTGGATCACTAATTCACTGTGCTCATGTAGCTATAACATTATGGCACATTGGACTTAAACCTCATCTCAAAATACATGAACACACCTGTTTAATGAATCCTTTCAGAAGAAAAAACCTTATGATGGTTAGTTCAGAGATTGGTTCTCCCTAGTTGACTTCTGCTTTGAACTAATATGGCAATTCTGAAGTTCCTTTACCATTTACTCATTCCGAATGGTTGTGCAGCTGTGAAAGGATAGATCTTGCATAAGTGTTTCAAAACCTTTCTTCAAACAAAATTCCACAAGTCTGTGGGGTGCTGCTGTCTTCACTTCAGGAGTATAAGCTCTTGGTCCAGCATATTCCCAGTGTGGAGGTTGCCTCTCATCATCTCACAGTGGCCCTAAGGAAAGCCTACATCCTAATCAGGTTGCTCTATAGAACAAGGGTAGCACTAAACACAGGAATTTATCTCCAGTTACGTCAAGTCAGGGCCTTAGATGACTGCTCTTGTGGTACAGGTAGGTTCAGTACCTTAGAGTGCCTCACTGATAGATGTTTCCATCAGTTTTTGAGAGAATAGACAGAAGCTACCTGGTATCCGAGGGTGTTAATTTGAGAAATGTGCCCCTTCTCAAATTCACTAATTAAAAAGGGTGCTTTAATAGGCAGTGCTTTTTTTTCCCCTGCATGTTAGGTGTGGGGAAGCTGTCCTTTGGGGTTTCTCTGGATATGGAAAAGAGCCACTTCACAGGCATCCATAGGCAATGCCTACGTGTGGCCGCTGCCAGGACTTCCTTGGCTGGCAGGGAATGAATGCAGTGAGGGAATAGGCTCCTCCAGGATATGGTGATTACCAAACACAGTTTTTGAGTTTTCCTGCCTAAATTCCACCTACATCACATTTGAAGTACATTTTGCAGATCTGTCTTTTCAGCCAGAAGACATTAGTTTTGTTAGTGGCCTTCATAAGGCCGAAAATGGGCATTGCCGATGGGCAATGTTTAGAATATAATCTTTTTTACTCTTTATCATGTACATTCAGTAATAACACTTTTATTTACTTTTTTTTTTTTAATCTTCAAATTACCAGTATTTCCTGATGTTATTATGGTGATTAATGCAGAGAACAGAACAGT